TGTTTGCTTGTGAAATTTTTTCTTTGTTTCTTTTATGAGGCTGTTTTTACATAAACAGCAGAGCCTCATGTACAGCACTTTACCCTGCCTCTCCCTGTTCTATGAGCCGCCTGGGCATAATTAGGACATACAAGACCCACTATGTACCCATGAAACAGGCATCACCTTTCAGCCCATGCTGTGTTGAATAAAACAGGGCAATGCAGAAGGTGAGAAATGTGCCTCTGACCTAGGGTGTCCATCCAGCCCCAGTTTCTGCTCCAGAGACTGTAACAGGAGGGAATGTCTTGGGGGCCCAGTTCCTTTTATAGTCCCTTCCTCCAGCACACCTGCTTTCTCATCCTGTTTTTAGGGGATACATCTCTCTCAGGTGTTTGCATCCTTGAATTTGCTTAATCTCCTCTTGAACCTGCAGATACAGCATCCACAACATCCTGTGACAGCAAATTCACAGCTTTCTGTACTCCCGGATTCTGGTGGGTGTTTGGCTGCCACCCTGAGTCAGTGGCTTCGGAGACCCACCAGTGAGAGCTCAGTGTGTCTCAGTGAGTCTATAGGGTGTGATGGGCTGGCCATGCCTGGGCACACAGCTGGGTACTGCAGCCCCCTGCACCTGCACCACTGGGCTGTGTTGCTTCTCTAGTCCCCAGGATCAGTGCTGCCTGGTCCTGGTCACTTATTAACAACCACTTTTTCTATTTGACCTTATCCCTCCTGTTACCTAGTTACTTCACTTACTTTCCTTTACTCCTGTTAGCTTTTTATGCTATGTTACCTTTGTACTTCTGATAGCTCTGGCTCCTCCACCTGATCCACTGCACACTGGCACATATATGAAGCTCCCCAACAGCTTCATCTATAAAAGCAGCCACAAAGATATCACTGACCTTCTCTGCTACATTATCATCCCCATCTACCCCTTTTATACCCCTGTCATTAACGTTCCCACTGATTTCCTAACTACCTTTGTGGCTTTGATGTATTTAAAGAGCCTTGTATCAGAAGCAAGGCAGTTTATGGATTCTTATTTTTAGCCCTGTTTATTTCCCTTTTAGTTGCGACCTGACATGTTTTATGGATTCCCCTGTTCTTAGAGCACTTTGGGCTTTTAGGGTTGGGTTTGGGGTTTTTTTTGATTAGTTGCTGTAAAAATCAGTATCTTCAGCTCATACCCCAAAACCTGGAAGTTGTCAATTTAATCATGCTGGGAACCCTTGGTAAGCAAAGCTGCTCCATCCACAGACACCAGACACAAGGCTTTGAAGCGGAGAGCATTAATGTGCTAAAAAGGAACAGGTGAAGGGTGGAAAATGGGGATAAAATAGCAATTGATGACTTTGCATTTGCCAGACTTGACAAATGGCATTCCTCCTCTCAAGAGTGGCAGATGAGGCAGTGCTAGGCTTACCTCGCTTGCCTTGCTGTGATTTGTGGCCCCGGGCTATTGAACCCAAAATTTCAAGCAGGATCCCAGGTCTCTGGGTTGTACCAAGGTCCAGTCAACCTCCTGAGCCCCGGATGAAGCCAAGGTGGTCTCCCCAAAACCAGCTAGGGACAGTCATGTTCACCATGGCACCTGCCTGAATCCCTTCAGCCTTCACCTGAGTTTCCCTAAACGCTCTCCATACTGGGGATTTCTGTTGGGGAAGCCATTCCTACCAAGGAGGTGAACACTTCTTGCTGGAGGAGAGGTTCATTTTCCCTTACCTCTGTCCCTCTGGTTGTCAGGAGTGCTATTGTTCACCCTGAAAAGAGCCAGCCATCAAACTCACAGTACAGAAGAAATGAAAAGTAAGGCCTCTTGGTCTGTAATAGTGTCTTACCTCCATTATTCACTCTTACTTGTTTATGCCTCCAGCCTGGCACATCACATGCAGGATCTCTGTAAAAACAGTCTCATAAAGGAAAAAAGGGGCGGTTTTCACCAAGAGATAAACAGAAAAAATGCAAAGTGCTTCCTGCTTTCAGGCCTGAAAGGTGCTGCTTTTCACATGCTAGTTTGGATGCTGGGCTTTGCTGGTGAGGGTGTGGATGCAGAGTTTTAGGTCTCAGTTTTCAGGCTGGTTTCAGGTATAAGCAGTGCTAACGACAGCAGGCCTGATCACCCCACCCATTCTTACCCCACATCCCATTACATTCCTGTGGTGCAGCTCCTCTAATGCAGCTGCTCAAACTCAGGTTCTTACCCCACTACCATCCCCAGCACCATATCCTTCCCCTCCCATCCCACATTGCTTGAGTATGCTTGGGTGTATCCAGAAAAATGGAGAATGGCATGTGACTGAAGCTATCCAAATATCCCCATACAAGTACATGTTATAACCAGGCAAACCTCTATCCCAACTCCTTTAGCACTGTTTAGCACAACCTATGCAAATGTGCCAAGCAATTACACTCTCTAGAGTAATTTTTGGTCTAGGACAAAAGTAGGTGGCAGACTTGAGTGGCAGCACCTTTCCAACCTCCTCTGCAGGTAATGTGCCAGCAGGACACCCTGCATCTCAGGGAAGAAGATGGGTGGGAAAATCCAGGATGTGAAACAAGTGTGGCAGATCCCTGGAGCCTCTCAGCCTGCAGGCATGTCCTCACTCACACAGATGGATGAAGGTTGCACCCAGATCCCTTTTCCATACCTGGTTGGATTTTGAAGGATGGACAGCTGAAAGAAAGCATGAGCCAAGCAGCAGCAGCCATAAAACACCACAAAGAGCTCTTTTCCATTATCACATTTCCCAGCAGAATCACACACTGTTAATAGCCAAAGAGAAGTGAAATATCTGAAAGCTTGCCCTTTCAGTACAGAATTCCAGCCCAGATAAAATAACTGTATCAGCCTTTGAAATGCTAAAGAGTAGTAGGCTCACTGTGGTATCTGATAGCCCCTCCCTGGCATGGGCTAAATGAGACCTGCTTGCAGTAGCGGAAATTAGCTTTGAATTAGAGCAATGAAAATTCCAGCGCAGCTAAATGACACACACACCTGACTATTTTTGCTGCTTTTATTATCAGTGGCAGCAAATATCTCAATATCACACCCTCAATAAAGTTTTATTGCATTAAAGTTTTGTTTACCATTGAGCTTTCAGCTGCATTTCCAATCTCTATTGCTTTGCGAAAGAATAGGAGATAACACTTAAAGGCCTTTTCATGTGCCTCTGTAGCAGGCTACTGTTACTTGTATTTTAAGGATCCTCTGCCCTGAGTGGATGGAACCAGACGATTTACTTCAGTGAAAAACCGCAATGACCCGTCCGGTGGGCTGCTATTTCTTGACATAGAGAAATCTCTTTATTTGACTCCACGTAACCCCAAGTTTCACTCTGCCGTATAAAGAAGGGGAGGAGGGGGTATTCCAGCAAGAACAGCCAGCTGAAGGAAGTAGAAGACTACACTCAGCTTCATGACCTTTTGCCAGTTCCTGTCTATATCCCACCTGTTTTCCAGTGTCTCACGCTGTGAGGTTAACGGAATGCTGCTGGCAGCAGAACCTTTTCCTGCTGCTGAAAAATCAGAGAAAAAGGGGAAAAGGAGAGGACTTAGCAGAAGTATTAGAAGCTGGGAGAATCTCCTTCGCCTGGGTTATGTGGAGACACACAGGGCTCAAAGAAAAAGAAGGGGGCGTTAGCCATGCATTAAACTGTTGGGGGAGGGAGCCAGTCCCCCTTGAAGGGCTTTATTAGCTGGAGGAAGGATGGGGCCTCTGCCTCTTGAGGTAAGTGTAGCCACCATGCCTTGCTTTGCTCCTCACGGGTGAGTAGTCTCAGAGGAAAAGTCAAGAAAATATGACTAAATCTCTACCATCCTTTGAATAAGGTATCATGACTAGCCAAATCCAGCTAGCTTTGCTCACATGGAGTAAAGGTTACCTTAAGCATGTTGAGATGCACTCAGATGGTGGGCATTGGCTAATGCCATCAGAAGCTACAGACCCTGCCAATGGCAGACACTGTGCAGCCAGGTGACAGCAGCAGAGGGGAGAGGAATCAACGGGAAGAAAGAAACAGTGAAAGCCCAGGAAAACAACAGAGACAAAATGGCACCTTTTCTCACCAGTCTACTTCTGGAAAGCAGGGTCTACCTTCTTTTGCTAGAAAAGCCACATGAAAAAGATCAGGACTGTTTTGTTCTCAGTTTTCAACTGCAAAAATTAGGAGCTCGTTTTGATCATGGAGAGCACTGAAAACATGCATCTGTATGGACATCCTGGTAACCTTTAGAGTCACATACAGTGTTCTCAACCACTGACCCCCAAACTTGTCACTTAAGCTGAAAGATGCTTCTTTTTTCAGCTGTGTGCCATTAGCAGCTGCCATCAAAGAGAGCAGCTTGTCCAGCATTTTCGAAGGAGATCCACTGCATTAACTATCCAGTTCCCACTGAAAACAACCTCTGAAAAGTGGTGCCAGTCTTACAACAATAAACATTTTAGCTTCATTAAGATTTAATAACATTTCTGATGAGAACCACTGAGTAAAAGCTGGATGCTGATGTAACCAGTCTGTGCACACTTGTGTCTAAATTCAGCACAAATTTTAACATAAAATAGTCTCTAGAGTTATAAAAAACCTACTTACACCACTGGGAGCAACATAAGAAAGTCTTGGTACTGAGAAAAAAATAATGTTTAATAGGAAGAGTTAATCTACATATATAAGATCCAAAACAGAAAACATAACAGAATTATGTTTTAAATGAATGTAAACTATAAATATATGTACATATGTGTGCTTATACATATTTTATATATATATATATATAAAGGAAATGTTAATGCTAGCCAATAGATAATGCACACTCGGTAAAATGTGGATTCTTTTACAGATAGATTTACTGATCATATGTAAGAAATCGGGGAGACAAAAACCCAAACACCAACCTTAAGATCATTCAAATATAAAGAGTGCAAGAGAAAAAAAAATCTAACACTTTCCACAGGAACTGAAAATATAAAATCAATGCAGTTGGGCAGCAAGGAGAACAAAGTTGTTTGTTTGAAGATATTGTTTCTTGCCATTTTATTGGGAAGGAAGGCTGTGGAAAAGGTCAGACAAGTGCCATTGTCTTACACAACACATGTCAGCAGAGATCTGAACAAAATGCTTTCAGATAGGAAATACTGAGGGGTTGAGGAGGGTAAAAAAGACTGTATCTTAGTAAAGTGAAACAAGGTAGGATCTCATGAAAAACAGTTATGATCTGCCCAAAGCCTTAGTTGAAATTGAGTGAGCACAAATAAAGGTAAAGCTCTGGATGCTGACATTTTTCAGCATCACACATACTTCTTGGACCATCTTCCAGAAGAACTGAAAACCAGCAGGATTAAAATCCTGATATCTTGTATACACTCGTTCTCTTGCCAGTCTACTGGCCTTCTCAAAGAAGTCTAATGTTTATTGGAGCTCATTAGTTTTTTAAAAGATATCTATCCCCTGTTACATTTTCCCCTTATGTCCATGATCTCTTTCAAGCGGGGGTCTTCTTTTAGAAAATCTTGAGAGAATCTGGAGTCAAGGACTTTGTTGTCTCCTCTGCTGAAGTAACTGCATTGGTGAGAGGCTGCGAAACTCTTTGGTCTGACCCAGTGTTGCAGTGGTCGTAGGTCCTTCTACTGCTCTTGTCAGTATCTGCTCTGCATCCTAAAGCCCCCACGCTCCCGTGATGGTTCGTACTACAGAGAATTTAGACAAGAGGAGAAGAGAAATGAGGAGTAGCTCTGGGTCAGAAAGTTCCTTTCTCAGAAGAGTTGCATGTGGCACACTGCACGTGAGAGCCCCTTCACCAAGATACACCAACCCTCAAGGAAAACCAAACAGGCAGACTTGAATCAGTGAGAAGTAGACACCTTTGGAAAGTTAGAAATGCCCAAATTCATGCAAATCTGACCAATTAACTAACTACTTAGACGTTTTTCTTCTCTTAATTGGCAGCTTTTTAAAAGCTGTTGTTTTTTTTAAACATCAGATATCCGGGTTGCTCCTTGCACGTTTAGACCTCAATTCTGCAAAACATGTAAATGTATTACAATTAAACAGATTTCTTCACTAAACAGGGACATTTTCTTGCACCACAGAGGTGGAGCAAAAATGTCATTTCAACAAGATTTGAACATACAATGTGCTTCTTATTTACTTGATTCATGTTGAACCCAGCAAATTATACATATCATAGCATACACTTCTCAAGGCCCAGCTTCCTCTACAGCTCCCTTGCAGAATTCAGGGATAAAACAGGCATGTTTTTTAGAACACACCTTCCAGCTAATGACACACCTCTACTGACCAGGCTCCTCTGGGCTATAGCTATGCAAAAGCTTCTTCATGGCACTTCACGCTTTGCCCCTTTGCAGTGCTGCAGCAGCTGCAGAGGCTCTTGCTGTGAACAAAGCAGCAGCAGAGCAGGTGGGAGGACACTGACCCTCTGGGCAGCTGTCCCAGCTTAAACTGTCTGTAAATCTTGCATGATGCTGCAGCTGGGAAGTGCCACTGCAGCACCTGTTGACTCCACAACTGCCTTAAAAGAAGCACAGGTGGTAACAGCCTGTGATGCTTGCAGGCACACTTGTGGTGAGGAATGTTTGGACAGTGCAGTCAAATGTTCTAGGACACAGCAGACCCCTGGGCAGCCAAGCTGTTGCTTTGGCCATTGCTTTTCACTTGTGACTCAAGGATGACTACTGGGACTTTAGAGAGATCTTTATGAGTTGAGTGCTGATCTCTGTATTAAGGCAAAGTTTTTCAGCTGCCGCTACAGTTGTTTGGATGCTTTTATACCACTGTGGCCTTCTAGACCAAGGGAGGATGGACAAAGTGAAGTTTAGGTTCCAGCAGTGTCTGTAGCTCACAATACTATGCTCATCTCTAGGACTTACTCTCTAGACCCTTCACCATGCAATTCCCACAGGTCTATGTGAAACACTTACCAAATCATCATAATCCCTCTCCAAAAAATGACCTTTATTTGTGGAAGGCATCTCATATGGGTTGTTTGGCTGATATCCTGGGTTTGCATGGCCAGAAGTGGTCTGGACTCTGGGGAATGTTATGGTCGGTCTATCATCAGAGATATCTGTGTCGGAATATCCTGACTTTATCAGCCTCTTCTTCTCTGGATTTTGTTTGTGTTTGGCTCTTCGGAGGAAATGAAAGAACAAAGGAGGTTTTAAAAGACCATTTAGTGTGCCTTACTTATTAAGTCAGTCAAACTTATCGAGTTGTCCACTCCCACCTTATTTTTACTTCTCAGTCCTGTTCTGAAACTCGCAACTGATTTTTGTAGCATGCCTACTGCAGAACCCTTGCTATCATTGTTATAATTGTTATTATTGTATAAGAGTACAAAGTTTGGCGTCTTTTCTCACAGGTGAGGCAAAGCTGCCAGGAGAGACAGAGGGGAACTTTGGCCTCTTTCAGCTAGTCCCTAGAGTAAAGGAGTTTCTTTCAACTGCCACTAGCTCTAACTGACTATCCAGAGGAAGAAATGAGGCATTCATTAGACACAGTTAAGGAAAGGTGCCCTCATGCCTGCAGCCAAAGCTGGACACATACACTTGACACCAGCTTGTGCACCTGCTGGCGAGCAATGTCTGCTGCGGGTGGTCCTGTAGGCATCTTTACTTGGGCAGTGCTGGGAGCAAAGGCAGAGGAGCTGCTTGACTATTTATTGTGTGGAGAGAAGTGAGGAGGTGCAACTGCAATCAGACATTTGCCAGTACACCAGGAATAGCAAGCTTTAAGGAGATGCTGGGCTGAAAATGACACCTGTATTGAGCTGAAAAGGCCATGCCAGACCTTAAGCTGAAGTGTGAGCAGGGAAAGCTGCAGAGGGTCTGAATTTGGGCCACACAGTCTTCTGATATCAGCATCCTTCTTCAGTCTTATCCAGATGCCATATCAATACTGGCTAGGGCAGGATTATGACTCATGGATCAGGTGTGTATTTTGAAGACTCGACTGAAGCTTTCATAGTTGAATTCACAGCAAGACAATAAATGCTTCTTGGAAGAGCACATAAGTAAGAGCAAATTCTGATGACTGTATGGCTTAAATGAACATGTCTGCCCAACCAGGCCTGCAACCTCATCCACAGCCCTGCTCCTTTCTAAATTTCTGCTTAGTTCTCTGTGAACATGCAACAATGCAGCTTCAATTATAAGAAATACTCTTACCTTGCTGAAATTACAGAGACTGCTATCACTAAACTCAGGATAATGGCTCCAAGAATTGTACCCACTATTATAAGGATGAGTTCAGTGTCTGCAGAAAAAAAACCCAGCAAACAAAACCCATCAATTGATCAATTGAAAACTCATGGTGAATATTGAAAAACAAGTTCTGTACCTGTCCGGAAGGAAGGGAGGAAGGAAGGAAGGCAGGCAGGCAGGAAGGAAGGAAGGAAAATATGGAAGATGTCATTTATTCCCAGGCTCCTTGTGCTTACAAATGTCAATGGGCACAGGAAGATGTAAATTAAGGATCTGCATTACAGACCATCTCTTCTGAATGCTATTTTGATCACAGCTCAAGTTCCTGATACCATGCACTGAATGGTTTTACACATAGTTATAGCTGAGGGACAGGAACAACTAAGAGGGTCCAGGGGTTCTTAAGCTAGTATTGCTGCTAAAATGTGTAGTTAGGTATCAAACAGGCTCTTTCCATGCCCTAAGCATATAAGGCATAAGATAAATTTCACTCCTTTTTTCCCCTAAGGTTTCCCTGCTGTAGGTGCAGAACAAAGGCATGCCTAAAGGCTGCTACTTGTAATGTTTTTAATTTCAGACAGATTAAACGCTACCGGGTATTTTTCCACATTATAACTAAAAATTGGAAATTCTTATACTTACTGTCAGTGCAGTTCTCCCCAGAATAGCCCAATTGACAACTACAGGAGAGAAAAAAGGAAAAGAGGAAAGAAAGAAAAGATAATGTCATTAAGCAGATGATTTTTAAAGTCCTTTCTAACCAAACTATATCTATAATTCTATGATCACAAAACAATAGTATTTTTCCCCCTTTTATCTGTAATTTCACCGCAAGGTGTGTTCGTTACAGGTTTCCTCTTAATATTGAATTCTTTACTTTCATTTGAGTAAAACAATCTGAGATTTTCAGAATGATTGGTGATCTGGGCACTCAAAGTTTCAACTTCTTAGTCTGAAAAATGTTAAAAAGACCTAATTTTTCTAAAGAACTAAGCTCTGCACCTCTGAGCCACTGTCTTTATCAAAAGCCTCAACATAAGTTCTGTAAGGACTGGGCACTTTATATCTTCCTCCCATACTAGTTTCTTATATTTGAAATAGATCAACTTTATGGTAAGAAGTGTTCAGTGTGCAGCAACAATAACTACAAAGAGAGCTGAATTAATGGACGTGGGGAGTAAGGTCCCCCTGCTTATTCACCAGAGCAGAGCACAACCAGTCACTTACTCAGCTTCACCAGCAAAACACCACCGTTCTGCTCTGATCCTGAGCTGACAGAAATACCCTCAGAGAGAAAATTAAAATGAAATAACATAGGTCTGAAAGTTATCAGGAAACAGTCCCCACTGAAATCAGTGGAAACATTCCAGGGGTTTGATGCGTCTTGCTCTAATGCTTGTTGTTTCCTAAACACTTCAGCATACCAGTTCCCACGGTCCAGTTACTCTATGTTTATGTAGTGAAGTAGTTTATCCTCTTCACTGACTCATGGGTGACCCTGGGCCTCCTTGGCTTTCCTCTCAGGTATTATGAGTGACCACAAAAGACTAATGCCAAGCAGTAAAAATGCCATAACTTGGGACACAATGGGAATTTGTCCACCGGTGAACCACCTTAGGCACCTCTCTGATTCACGCAGCTGCAGCCTGTTCCTCTAGACTGCATCTGACCCTGTGTTAGACGTCCCTCTCCCCTATCTTTGCCTAGAGCATGGGAATGCAATAAAAGGCTGAATACTCACGGTACGCATTCTCCATCATTTCCATCTTTCTCTTCAAAGTTAGGCATACATGTGCATTTTGGGATCCCTTCTTTTATTGTGCAGTACTTGTGTGCTTGTGCAGAACAGTTTTTACTGCAAGCTGTATTTTTAGGGGGAAAAAATATGAGTTAATTGAAGATAGTCCCTCCCCAAATCAATGTTAAAGGTAGCCCCTCTCCCCCTTTTTTTTATTGCACTGAGAACATACACAACTCTCTCATTCTTCAAAGCACCAGAATGGCTTTTTTAGGACTATACCTATGTAGAATAGAAACTGAAATAAAAAAGTACAAAATTAGAAGTAAACTGGCTTTGTTTAAAACCATTCAGCTTTATCAAAAAGGAAATCTATCTAGGCTGCATCTAACATAGGCAAGCAATGACCTGCAGTTCATTCTGACAGCAGATAATTTGTATTGCAACTGATCTAAAACTGTATCAGATTTAGACAGGTTAAGACAGGTTAGGGGCCACAAAGGCCGACACTGGATCACATCTCACTGGGCTTTATTGCAGCCAGCTTTCATAACTTTATCATAGGTGTTTGAAATATTTATTGTTTTTCTTAAAATCTCATATCTTAGAGCTTTTTTAGTTTCTGTAGTGTAAAAATTTTAGTTTCCATAAGAAGAAAATAAGGTACATCTCAGGGCTTTGGAGGATAGCTAAAAATATAAACAGAGTACCCATTAAAACATTCAAAACTGTAAAGAAAGTAAACCCCCAACAACTAACAGTTCCTAAAAGTTACAGAAATCATTCTTCCCACAAAAACCTGTCTAAATCCAGGTCATGCAAACCTAGAACCATGAACAATGAACAGGTTGTTGTAGTGCATCCTGAGGGCTCTAGTTCTGTCAGCATTCCCATAGCTGCCTTCAAGTAGCATGCAGAATTTATTCCCAAAATATGTACTAGCAGAGAAGGCTGTGAATACAGGATTCAATTTGTTCCATCCTTCACCTATTTAGGTTTCAGTTCTTACCAAGAGCCTAACAATGCATTTAAAGAATTGCCCACTCACTGCTTTCAGTGATGATTTTATCAAGCTTCAGTAGTTTATTCTACTGGAATAGAATTATGGATGTGTTCAAAGTGAAATGTGAGAATGTGTTTCTATGGCTTTCTTAATAAGACACGCATTTCCTGATTTTTAGAGGTCAGCACAATTGCACAGCATCCTTTTTCAACAAGGGACTGAGACAGGGAATAAGCAGGTCAGACTTTCAGGGATAGATAAAGTAGCAAGGTTCTTACCTGAACAAGAACGATCATCCCATGTTGTCTTTTCTAAACCACTTTTGCATTGGCATTCTGGAAACGGGTCTTTTACATCTTCTACACAGTCTGTGGTTTGATTATCACACTGAAACACATCACATTTCTTTGCCTCTTTAAAAGAGAAACAGGGAGCAAACCTGAGTACTAATAATATTTCATAGAAAGCGGTGCTCTTGCTCAGTAAATCATAAACCAATTATTTAGTAATTCTAAAGAAAAAAAATTTGTGAGTTCTTTTCCTGGGACATCAATACTGCAGGTTTTTGGACCAGCCATTTCTTTTCCCTTGCTCTTTACCAGTTAAGGTCCTGTTTCCATCATACATTCTGACTTCCTTTCTCTCAGCCTCCTGCAACTGGCTCCAAACCTTCCTGGCTTCCAGTTTATGAAAAGGGAATTTCTACCCATAAGTTCATATTCTGAACACTGGATTTCTGACTCACCTTGAAAAAAAACCTACCATCACTATTCCCTTAGTTTTTTCCACAGCTGAACTGTGAGGCCCAGATCCCATACAGTTCTACATAGATATAAATATTTATGGGCAAGCAGTTCATTTCATGAGCAGTGTTAGTATCCTTTTTGCCCAGTACATTGCTCTTTAGATGTATGACTCAGTGGTGGGAATGGTTTAAAAACCTCAGTGCATGGCACATATTAGAGGGATGTGCTGGTGCTTTGCAAGCTCTCAGTTTTTTTCTATTTCCCTCTCACATTTAGGAACAGCACACAAGAAATGTCGTGATTGAGGTGGATATGGTCACCTCCAGAGACCAAGCTCAGGCTATAAGCCATGAAATGGACACTTCTAATTATTAGCTATACCTTGTGAGAAAGCTGGTTTCAAAATAGGATCATATTAAAAAAAAAAAAAAGAGACAGAGAAAAAAATCCATAGTTTATTTAGGAAATCATTCTCCAAGTAATTTAGTAAAGCAAGAATTTACTGGTTTAGATGAATGAATCACTTAGCTCTGCAGCTAATCAGTGAGGCCTCATTTCAGTTACCATAGCTAATTATAGAAGTCTAAAGAGAGTTTCATCCTATTTTTCCAGAAAAATACTGACTTACTCTCAGAAGGACAATATATGTCTGTATATATTTTATCCTGATTTTTCCCACCACTTAACACTCAGCAGGTTAAAATCACCATGCCATTGCTTACTTAGGAGTAAGTATTTTCCTTCTCTTCTTTACATAGGAAGTAGAAAGCCTTAATAAGAAAAAAAGGCCTAGCACTGCATGGTTGAATCTTCAAAATTACACAAGATAGAACATTAAGCTCCTTAAAATCAACAAGGCTTATGCTTTGATGGGCTTTTATGCACAAAGAAATCCTCCAATCAGGTCTCAAGATAGGAACCTCTGTTTCTGTTGATTATTTACTTCCACAGTAAGGAGTTACATACCTTCGTAAGAAGAGACATAGGATGAATTTTCTTGTATTGCTTGTTTTACTGCAAGAGAAACTGATTCATTGGTCACACTTGAGTTCTCCTTAAACAGGTTCATCACTGTTACAATCGTTTGAGAAGTAGTTCTGGATTTTTCTGAAGGTCTGAAAAGTACAGATGGTTCCATTTAAAAGTCTCATATAATCCATACAGATAGCAAAGACAAGAGAAATTTTCTGCCAAATCTCCCTCTCTCCCCTAGCTTATTTCTTCCCATAGCATAGGTAAGTGCCAAGACACCTGCAAATGAGTTTGTCTAGCTTAGGAATGCATTAACAGCCATCTTTCTAGTAGATCCAGATATAAATAGGTAGCTGTTGGATTTAATGCTAACAGCATTGCTTCTTCGTGTGCTGTTGACACACAGCTGACATTTTTTAACTGAGCTAACCTCAAGTTAGCTGCAGTGTGGAGGACCTTATCTGTTAAACCCTAACTTTCACATGCTTGCATCAGCCTGTGGTGTCATCCAGGCATGATGTGGAGAACCCATCCTGAAGCATGGTGAGGATAATTCAGGGTATGACCATAGTGAATTCAGAAGGGTCTGTTTGCAATGTAGAGGTATCTATGCCAACTGCACACTAGCTGGGCTGGATTCAGCTGGACATCAACCTCCCTGGGGTGAGGTGGAGAACAGCAGTGACTACCCTGTTCCTCAGTTAAACTTCATGCTGTTGGGATATGCACACAAATATCTTTTAGTGGCAGATTGCTGTAGTGCCTTGAGATGTTACTGTGCCCTGTGTGTTTGTCACAACTGCTCTGTTGGAAGTTACTGCCCTCACAACTCTGCTGGAACAACACTCTGCTTAACTGCTTAGTCCATGGGGTTCACTGAAAGGGCTTACACTGCTGTGTGTGCTACCATGCCAGGCTTTGCTTGATGTGGCTTAGGAACCACTCACAAAGAAGCTGGCAGAGCTCTGGGGACAGTAACCTCTAACAGATGGGGATGGGAAGAGAGGGATATCTCAGTGTCCATCTAGACCAGCAAAGGACCTTATTTCCACAGCTACAGTCACCACAGCTCATTCAATTCAACCTGCCATCAGGAGAGACCAACAAGTGCACAGTGAGATGCATTTTGTATGCCTTCTGTAATAAGGGTGTTTTTTAAATTAATTGGGAGTCCGAGCTGGATCTCCAAGTGTTCATAGGAACCTCAGAGTTAACTGTCACAATTTCAGATATGTCAGATATTACAGGGGAGTGCTAGTTATAGCATAGTGCTCTATCCTACATGGTGCTAAAAGTGGGACATCCACAGTGGACCTGTGTCAGCCAGCCCATTTCACAGACATTTGGGGGGAAAAATGGGGCCAGCATTCCAGAAACCTTAAAAATATGAAAAGAATGTCCTTCTTTAAGGGAAAGCGTTCTGAACTGAACTCATCCCATATCTTTTATTGAACTGAGTATTCTGTGGGAAACAGATTAAAATGGGGTGTGTGGGAAACACGTACTGTGCAAAAAACAAACTGGCAAACTTACTGAATTTCCACAATGACTGTCTGTACATAGGTCAATAAATTTTTGAAGGCCTTTTCAAACTATAAAAAAAGAAATGAATTGTGGTTAAAGGCAAGCAGAAACATAGACCAAAATCACATGAACCACTGAGGCTTCAGCTGTAAAGTTTTAATCCAGAACATGCTACTATAGGCACAAATATAGCAAGCTGATCAGTTACATACACTGGCAAGGTGTTGCAGAAGAGGAGTAGTGGGGTGGTGCTGTAGAATATGGGAGGACAGGGAATATGGGAGAGCAGTGGAGGGATGGAGATTGAATGTCAGGCAGTGCATTAGGATAACTGGACTGGACTGGAGTGGCTGGATAGCTACAAACACTCTATTGCAAACTCATTGCTTAGGAGGGTGTCTCCTAAGCAGTACCAATCTACGAGAGAGAAGAGCAAGAAGTAGGAATCCTTCCAGGTGGCATGTGTCCCTGAGATGCAGTGAAAGGGGATCATAAGGGGTTGATCTTGTGGGGAGAAGCACAGCACTGATGAAAGCACTGGGAGTGGAATGGAGTCAGTAGAAAAGTCACTGTTCTCCCTCATCCCATGTGAAGCAAGGAACAACTAGTGGTGGCAGCTGCCTTCAACTGCCACACAAGCAAGAGACACCACAAGAAAAGGATAGGATGTCTAATTCAACTGAAATGAAAGCTAAACTATCCTTTTCAATAAAATTAAAATAATTTTCTATTATATTTTCACTTTTGCATTCTGTTACTACGTTATGCCTATTCTAGTCCTACTTATCATGCTCTTCTGTTGCCATGCCATGAACAAATGCTGAACAAAAAAATTGAGGAAAATATTTTTAAACATTCTGGAGGAACAATTTTTGGTCACTTTCTGATAAAACATTCACAGGAAGCAATATAATAACAGGCAGAAATTGATAATCAGTTTTGATGATTTCTGATTAATATCTGGTGAATATTTTTTGATCAGATGTCTAGTAGAGGTGCATATCTCTTCTTCCTTACTACCAGAAAGAGACACAAGCAAATTCACTTGTTTCAACATGGCAGTATAAATTAAACTACTCATCTTATTTTTCCAGGAAATCGTTTACCAGATTTTATGTACAATCATAGAATACTCAAAATGTGTAGTATCCATTTAATTAACAGCATTAAAATGCTAATACTGGTAGGCTTATGGAAGAGGCTTGTTATTCAGGTATTTAGAAACAGTTGAACAGCCATTCTGAAAAGTTTGTGCTGTGTGGAAATGATAATTTTCTTAAAAAAAAAATTGTTCATTTTTACTCATACCCACTGAGTATTGTTGAGTTCAGAAACTCAGTAGGCTGGACAACTTCACTCAGCCCCATTGTTTCTGGAGAGGGACCGGTGAAAGATGCAGAGCCATTTATTTGAGAACTTCCCAGAATGAAAGTGGTATTAAAAATGCAGACATTACTTTAATCAGGTACTTCCCTGAGGGCAAAATTCAAGTCTTTTACAAATAGGTCTAAACTGGTATGAAGAGTTCTTTGAAAGAAGTAGTTTTCCAAAGTGAAACTCTTCTGGCCTCCACATTAAAAGCAATGTGTGTCCTCTCTGTCTGCATAACACCCAGTACAACATGAAATATACAGAAAAAAACCAACATTGTCACTCACAAATTCTGATACACCGTTGAACACCTCTTCATATGCTGTGGAATTCACAATTTTAACACTGTCATTGGAGTTTTGATTCACACTAATGACCCCTGGGTATACATCCCCTGAAATAAGAAGAGAGAATACAACTTAGAAAGCATTCAAGAAAGTCAGGTTTCACCTTAGAGTTCTCCAGCCTTCAGTGATGGGGAAATACAATGTGGAAGACAACCATTGCTATTTTTCATATGCTGGAGGGATCAGTAGGGAACAAATGTTTGCTCAATCAATTTAGTCACAATGGGGGATTTACTCTGGCTACCTGGGAAAAAGGCAGGATTGTGGGCTCAACCAAATTGTCCTGATTATGAAACTGAATAACATTAAACTGTCAGAATGGCCTAAAACTAAGACTCTCTGTGAGGTGTTACAACATTTAATGAGAAAATATGTATATTAAGGACTCCAAAACTGCAGCTACTAAGCAGCTAACATGGTTCACCATATCAGAGAAAGTGATTCAGTATCAACCTGTTTCTTAGGCCTCACAAGTAAATTTGAGATTCTTGCTTGCTGGCACTTAAAATAAGAAGCCCTATTTGCTCACACACTTGGCCTTCAGGAGCATCTCAGAGAAGCATTCAACAGGACTGTGATGAGTGTTGGGAAAGTCAATCTGGTTGTTTAGAGGTCTTAATGAGTTTGGACCTTTTAAAATCCTCACAACTGATATTGATGTCAGGTTTACACTTGCATTTTTTCCTGCTTTTCACTCATTTCAATCTCCAGCACCCCTGACAGAGAACTCACCTTTTCCTAGAACCTTAACCTCTTTGGCTCTCACTCTTTTGTGAGGTAACAATCTAGGTCATTGTAGCAGTGGCTATCTGCAAAGCAAGGAATTGCTGAGCAGTCACTTTCCCAGATTGATTATGTTTTCAGTTATAACATGAAAACAAGGGATACGGGAAGAAAAATTCACCTGAACAGGCAACTAAAAACATAGATGCCCTTCTGCAAACTCACCTCTGTAACAATTCTTATCCTCCTTGCTATAGTAGAATCCATAGTCACACTGGCAGGTATAATTGCTTTTTAAAGAAAGACATTTAGCAAAATTTCTTCCACAAGGGTCTGAACTGCAGAAGTTCTCTGATACAAAGATGAAGGACATTGACGTTAGTATTTCTATGAAATTGCAATAGCCAGTTCACATGTAAAATAATTCATATATTGAATAGTTCATGTGTATTTCTACTAAAGGAATCTACCAGGTATGTTTTAGAGAGTATAGATGCGATTACAGAGCACACAGCTGTATGTTGCTTGCTTAATGTCCATATAGTAACTGTTTTCTCTATACCATCCAGCAGGATATCACAGTGAGGACTCAGGGTATGGCTGAATTTCATTATCTGTCATATTGAGCATTCACAACGCAACTCTACTTAATGCAACTAAAACCAAATCAAACAAAGAAAGTATATCAAGGCTTGCCAAAGTCAGTGACTGTTAGAAAAAGGCAGACTACAATAGCCTGCGAGTCTTAAATATGGCACTGGTGCATACTTGCCTTATTATGACACAGTGTCATGGTACGGTCCATAACTGCAGACAGATTATTAAAATGAGGACTCCAAAGTTAATTATCATGGTATATTTTCTCTGAGTAATTGTACCTTCTGTAAAGATTTTAGAGTATATATTTTATATCTATCACTAATTTAAATGGTTAAGAAGTAATTAGAAGTCATATTTCAATATAAATTATACATAGGATGGTTATTACAGTTCTCTTCCAAGACAACAGATTCTGCTTTTTACCCTGCCTGGTATCTTTCACTTAACTCCATAGGTATGTTCTCGTAGATAAGACATTTTCTGTGCAATGGGGAAAAAAATAGTAATTCTTATTCAACCTCCAAAAAGCAAAAAGAAAAACATTGAATGAAGCTACAACGCCTATAAGGTTCATCTTCAGATATTGTTTCCAGAGACCCTACTGAAGCCAGTATTTTCTCCTGATGGAAGAGATCCCAAGTAGAAAGAAACAACACTTGTGAAGTCATCTGAACACAATCCACTTGCAGCAAGAGCCAGCAGGGAACAGTGGTGGGGAGACACAGTATTAAATGGGGATATATTATCTACTCCGGAATGCCCTAGTGGGATGGGGGATGGTGGAGTATGGAGAACACCTGGGAAGAAAAGATGTACAGTTCCCCAGACAAGGCTCCTGGGCTCAGCCCTGTACTGCTGTGTGCCCAAACTCCCTCCCTGCCTGAGCTCCAACAAATCTAAGGCACAGCTACCAGCAGGGCCCTGGCAGGGGCTGCCCTGGGCATGTCTTTGCAGGGATCCTCTTCTACCCAGGCCTTGGTACAGGAGGCAAGGGCAGTAAGCAGGAAATCGGCAGCCTACATATTCACAGCCTTGATCTGGGCAAGTTTGTCTCCCCTGGGAGAGGATCTCAGGGAAACCTGGGCACAGGCACTCATCCCTCTCTGCGGGCACTGCAGAGCTCCTTGCAATTCACTTCCTCCAATCTGTGCCCACAAGGGGCTGCCTGAAGAGATTGCTCCTTACCTGTATTATTTGTGGTTGTGTTCCCTGATGGGGCAGTCGTTGGTGCAGTTTCATTCCCGCTTCCTGATGAAGAGAAAAGAAGAAACATGGCAGCACTGCTCAGCATTGTCTGTTGGAAAAGCTTTGGGGAACTCTGTGTGTGCAGGACAACCTGTGAGCACATAGGTGGTAGGCAAGCCATGAGGGGCTGAGCAGCCAAAGCCCTGAGCAGCCTTGCCCTGCCTTGGGCATCCCTGCATGTGATGCCTGTGTTTTCTGATGTGTGTCCGTGACCTCTTGTCCCCCAAAGCTCAGAGCTTG